TGGCCATGTCTCTAACACCATCCCCCTTTTCTCCTTGAACATTTGAAGATGGCCTGGGCATATTTTGTTACAGTTTTTCACTCTGCTTACTTGCTCTTAGTGGATTGAACGTGAGACAGTATGCAAATCTCCTTCTCCAAGAGACAGCAGTCTGGGACTGAGACATCAGTGGGCCATTACCATACCCCATTACCACAGAAGCACACAAGGGGGAAAAGAAATCATCAAATAAATGTCCCAAGGTATCTCTTGGGGCTCTGTGTGTCTCCTATTCTCGTGTTTGAGCTTTACTGGTCTAGCACTTTCTGTAGGGACAGGCATTACTTTAGACATCATGATCATTAAAATCCTATTTAAAATAAAATGTTTTTGAAGATTTCTAAGAAAACCTATCCAACCTCTTTGTTTGCCTGCCTTTGATTTGATTTTTACCCCTGCTGGCGAAAAGAACATCTGTGTTGCTTTGACAAATTCTTTTTGGCCCATGTCGGGGGCCCCCAGTTGGCTGTGTGGGCACGCAGAGGATGGACTCCTGATGTGCTGTGCTGAGCCAGCTGGGGATGTGCCTGGCCTTCTCTGTGCACAGGGTTTTGTCTTTGTGCCGTTTCATTACCCACATCAGGCTATATTGAAGGTAAAGAGATAAGGAGGAAAACTGAAGTTAAGTCCAACAGGTAACCCAATCAGCCAGCTAACCACTCTGCCTCTGAGCTGTCCATTAGCCAGCCAGCCAGCCAGGCAGCTAGCCAGTCCGGGTGTCAGGCAGTTAGGCGCTCTGCCTGTCCTGTAGCCAGCTTGTCAGCCAGGGCATTGGTGAGTCAGACTGCTCTGCAGCCAGCTAGTCTGTCCATCTTTCCATCAGTCTTTTAAGCCAATCAGCCTGTACTTTGGTTGAATGGAATGTCATTCTATTCATCAGCCAATACCCTTCCCTCAGAGAAGCTCTCTCCAGCTTCCAAAACCAAATTAGTTACACGAGCACACATTCACGTCCACCTACCCACACACAGATCCAGGACATTCTGTTTCAATGACTCCCTGTACTCTTCCTTCATGGTGCTTACCATACTGTCCACTCATACCACTCATATTCCTTTGTGTGATTATTTGATGGATGTCTGATTTCCTGTTAGATTATAAGCTCCATGAGGGCAGGACCCATGTTGGCCCTGCTCTGGGATGAATGGCTCTATCTATTGGTGGGTCATGCTGTCCATGAGCCAGCCCAACAGCATAGAGCAATTTGCTGGGTGGACAGAGTGGACCACAGGAGCATTTCAGCCAGAGAGAATATCGTGAGTTAAGATACAAAGTGGTCGAAGAATTTAGCATCTCTGGAAAAGGGTGTCATTGCTGGAGCATAAGGAGAGGGGCAGGGATGGGAAGAGGGCACAGGCAAGCTAGTGGGAGATTTGTCTGGAGCTGTAGGGTCCAGGTCCTAAAGGATTTATGTGACATGAGAAGGCAGCAGGTTTGGGATGCCTGGGTGACTGAGTCGGTTAAGTGTCTGCCTTTTGGCTCACATCATGATCTTGGGGTCCTGGGATCGAGCCCCAAGTCGGGCTCTCTGCTCAATAAAAAGTCTGCTTCTCCGTCCCCCTCTCCCTCTGTGCTTGCTCTTTCTCTCTCTCTTTTGCTCTCTGTCTCACATAAATAAATAAAATCTTTTTTTAAAAGAGGGCAATAGATTTTAGGTGACAAGATATTGGAAATTTTAAGTGAGAGTTGTGTCTGAGAACCTCGGGCAGCAATGTGGAGTGAAGTGGACAGAGACTAAAGGCAGGAAGGCCTACCAGGAGGCTACTGGAAGTCCTGAGGTTACCATGTGCTCCCCCTTTTCCGTATCATGAAAAATGCTACAATTTTTGTGGCCCACTAGAATAAACACATGAGGCAGCTTGTGGCCAGAGGTAACAGGACCCAGAGGCTGAGGGGCTCAGGATCTCAGCCCACTTGTCACCTATTCATATATGCCTCAAGAAGTTTTGGTAGTGGAGGAAGGCAAAGAGGGCCTGAAATAAAGCAATGGCAGCAGGGGCAGGCATGATGTCTGTGAATACTGTGGAGGCAAGCCTAGTGAGTCTTAAGTCCTCCTAGTAATGGTGGTAGCAGCTATCCATAGCCAAACTTCTATGTTTCCTTCTGCCATTAATGGGAGGGGTGGCGCTCTTCCCTTCCCCCATCCCATTCCCCTTATGTCTCTATTTGGCTATATACAAGGTTGATCATTCTGTTGTGACCCAGAAGCATCCATTAACTAAAGGTACAAACACCCCCTCAGCCCCTTCTTAATAACAACCCAAAGGGTATGTAAACTAACTGGAATTAAAATAAAAACTTTAAAAAAAAGACCCAAAGGTGATCTCTCATCCCTGGTCCCCCTCTTACTAGAGAAAGGAGCCAGTTGTTCCTCAGAGTCCAGATGGTTCCTCTTCTTCCTGATGATATCGAGTGAGCTCCATAGGAGTATCATCAACTCATTGCCCGTGGGGTGGAATCCAGATGCCTTACCATGGCATGCAGTGTTATTGGATTGTGTACTAACGAAACAATTCAAGATAGGATTTGATCTGGCACCAGACTGTGTGATAGAGACGTAGCAACGTGCGAGCACTGAGATAGGAAAAGAGATGAAGAGGGGTAGGATACCTGGATGGCTCAGTGGTTGAGCATCTGCCTTCGGCTCAGGTTGTTATCCTGGGGTCCTGGGATTGAGTCCTGCATCAGGCTCCTCCTAGGGAGGCTGCTTCTCCCTCTCCCTCTGCCTGCCACTCTGCCTGCTTGTGTTTCTCTCTCTCTCTCTCTCTCTCTCTCTCTCTCATTTTCTGTCAAATAACTAAATAAAATCTTTAAAGAAAAAGAGTTGAAGAGGAGAAACAGGCTGAGGGTGGTGACTCTTGGGAGGCTGTGCAAGGAGAGCCAGCCAAAGAGAGAGATGGAAATGGTCAGAGACGACAGAATCAGAACCCAGTATCACCTTATGGAAACAGAAGCTAAGAGAAGAATTTCCAAAGGATAAGGGGATTGGTGTTGGCAAATGAAACAAGCTGAGAGGTGTGAAAATGAATATGTGTAATTGTGTTTAGCTGGAAAGAAGCTTTACTCCCAGATCAAACCAAACCTGACCCATGGCTCATTTCTGTAAATGAAGTTTTCTTAGAACCCCATCACACCCACTGTTTAGCTCAGGGATTGTCTATGGCTGTTTTCTCACTTCAATGGCAGAGTTTTTGCAACAGAATGTATGACCCACAAGGCCTAAAGTACTTGCTGTCTAGCCCCTTACAGAAAAAGTTTGCCAACCACTAGTCTGGATGGGCTACAAAATAGTCAACTTGAGCTATGTGTCAGGATCCTGGGAGATAGCGAGGAGACTTCTGCAACTTTACTTGAAAGAAGAGATGATTTGGATTCAGAATTGTTCCCCAGGTGATGACCCAAGCCAAGAAGGCTAGTCTAGTCGGTGACCAAGTTCACCCAAGTCCTTCATGATGTTCCTTTTATGGCCACTGCCCTTGTGGATGCCCTAATCTTCTCTCATCTGGACTGTTGCAGTAGCTACCTCACCAGTCAGAGAAGGATTCATTCCACCCTAATTCTTTTAGCTCATAATGCCTGGTCTGGGAACCCCCAGAAGTCAAGGTGAGTCATGGCCCCATGGCTCCCTCTTCAGCCAGTCTTCATTGGTCTTCATTGGTCTTTATCTGGAGGCCACTGCCCTGATCCCAGGGGGGGAATGCTCCCATGGCTGATTTCGTCTGGCCCAAACTTATTTTCAAGCTACACTTTCTCAAAATCACAATACAGATATTGGGAAGGTTTCTTGAAAAGATATTGATTTGGGGGAAATATATCTTTTGTTGAAATATTGGTGCCAAGTCACCAAAACAGTCAAACAGCCAACCCCAGTTTCAATTTGACTGATTTAGGGTCAAGAACAAAAGTAACAGAGTATGCTAGGACTTCCCAGAGTAGATTAAAAAAAATACAACTGACTACCATGAGATTTTCTATGAAAATAGATGGTTTTGGTCAAATAATTTGGAAACACTGGAATCCTAAAGCCCCCCTCTTAACATTTTTGCAGTGCACATTCTTATGTGAAAGGGTCTGAGAGTTCCCATAAGTACGTCTCTCTGCATAGCTTGTTTGACCCAGTGTTTCACACATGTATTTGACGAAGGAACTGCTTCAGGGGGCACCAGCTAACATCCTGAGGATACTTGAGGAAAGAGGGGAGGGCATGGAGGTCTGAGCAGGGCTGCAGGCCGAGAGAACTGGGCCCAGAAGGCACGGTATTGCATGGAGTGTCCATGTCATGGGAGCTATTCTAGGTACTGGGCAAGATGGGTTATAAAGATGATCAAGAGGGCAGCCCTGGTGGCTCAGCAGTTTAGTGCCACCTTCGGCCCAGGGTGTGATCCTGGAGACCCGGGATCGAGTCCCATGTCGGGCTCCCTACATGGAGCCTGCTTCTCCCTCTGCCTGTGTCTCTGCCTCTCTCTCTCTCTCTCTCTCTCTCATGAATAAATAAATAAAATCTTTAAAAAAATAAAGATGATCAAGAGATAGTTCGTGGATTCAGGAACTTTCTATCAGGGATATTCCCCAGTCCAGCCAGGACTCCCAGGACTCTAGCTAGGACTTACCCCAACTCTCCTAATCTGGCCCACATATCTGCCGGGCCCTGACAAACACAAACACAGCCATGCAGCAGTCACACAATATTATATAATTTTAATCTTTTTTTTAGTAAAGGTAATTCATTAAATGTGTAGTTAAAGGTTGATTTAATTTTGACACTTGAGTATGAGTTAACCATAAATATGCTCTCAACTCAGATGAAATGATCTGTCGGTCCACGCACCTTGATTTTTGGTTTAGAAAGTATGATTCTCATACCTCTGCGAGCCATCTTTTCTTCACTGTCATCCTCCTGGACATGCACTCGCTCCCCTCCTTCCCACGTCCTCACGGTTCTTCTTGTCTTTCTCCCACAGCCTCTGGTGCTGTTGATGGAGTGGCCCGAAGCCACCAACTTTGCCTGCCTGATTGCGGGGTACTGCCGTCTCCTTCTGGACTCCAGGAAGATGGTCTTTTCCAGGCCTGCCAGCCAGCCACTTCCGCCTCCAATGATCAAGGCAGGTAGGGCTCAGCCTCAGTTTTTCACTATACTGGAGGGCCTTTGGACCCTGGAAACATTGAGGGAGGAGCTCTGCTTACCCCATTCCACCAGCACCCTGGTTTCCCAGCAGCCAGCACTATATACCACTGGGTCCTACCTGGCACAAGCTAGTGGGAAAGACAGCTGGCCTTCAGATGGGTCTGGCCCAGAAAGGATGCCTGTGACAACACATTGCATACGATCAAGTCAGTGAATGAATGTAAGATCAAAATTTGAAAATAAGCGATAAGTAGGCCCAATGAGAGAACTGCACCAGATCTAAGGCACAGTTTTAGAGGTACAGTAGAGGTACAAGGATCTAGGAGAGAGACATGGGTGCTCTGACTCAGCAGAACTGGAGGTTGAAAGTGGAGATAAAATCTTTCTCTTGTTCATCATAATGGGGATTGACGGAGCTGCCTAAAGTTAAGTCTGGGGGTAGGCAAGATTGTGCAGGCGCAGAGTACAGTCCAGCAGGAGGCTTAGAGAGACCACAAAGAACAAGGTCAAGTGCAACCCCCAACATGAGGCTTCCCAGTTATGCAGCTCAGTAGAGCCACCCCTTGGAGCTGTCTTGGTGCTGACACAAGCAGGTGCCTTGGGAAAGGTCAGCCCGGTCAAGATGCTGCTGCCCCGAACCAAAGCAGAAGACCTGAAGAACAGGTGCTTCACATATTAGACCTAAGGCTCACAAACAGATAGGAAGTTGTCCCCCCACCCCATCCCCAGCTCAGCTCTCAAACATCATGGCAGAAGCTGTTGCCCTCCTTGCCTGCCAAAGTCTCTCCATCCATTTGCCTGGCAGGTCAGCCATTTCTTCACTCTTCAGGGCTACAGTATGGTCATATCTGATCTAGATGGAGGGGTTTGGGAGTAGAAGCCCACTCCCAATGGATGTCCCAGCTCCCAGAGAGTTGTGCAACCCCACACACCCCCATCCCCTTATGTGGTCTTCATCATGACAAACTCATGTGTACATCTCCTAACATCATCCACAGGACGTGGAGGGCAATCCACCAAACATAGGCTGGGGAAAGGACAGGTGGCCCCAAGGCATAGGAGGAGGCTCCATGTAGAAAAGCAAAGGAACTGACTAGGAATGGAAGAAACCAAGAGGCCGAGTTGCCACACATCCCCAGGTGAACAGCTCTGAATTGGATGCCCATAGGTATTACCAAGCCTGCAGGTGGCCAAGTGATTTCCAAGCCTAGGTTAGCATTGTGATGCTCTCTGTCATCAAAGCCAAGTAAATGATGCCTCTTATAGAGCAGGATAGGGAGAGAGAAAGGGAGAAGGAAAGGCAGAAGAGGGGAGCCTGGAGCCCAGCCAAGAACCAGAGGTAAAAGTGAGGGCTCTTTGGGGGATCCATTTTTGGAAGGCCCCAGAGATGGCTCTGTAGTCCTATCCACCTCCCAAAGGGTTCTGTTATCCCATCAGCATCCTGGTCAGTGCCACCCTTAGGTATACATCTCTTTGAGCATAGTGCCTCCAAGTGAGGGCATGGGCTTCCTGTTCCTCATCACTGTTGCTGAACACACCCCAGGTTGCATCCCTGTTGCCTTTCCAGAGGCAAATCAGTTTCGATGGATTCTCTAGAAGGGATTTCAGCCTGGAAAGAAGGCTTATGTAAATGCTAGGCATGGCTTTAGAGCCCCTCCCTGGTTCCTGAGAGTCCCCGCTGGGGCCTTCAAAGTGACGGTGGCTCAGCTGCCTCCAGCACAGGGCCTGTCTCTTTGCAGGAGCCAGATGGAGCACCGTGCTGTTCACTTTGTACCGCTTCGCCTCCTCAGCAGTGTGGGTCCATGCCTGGGCCCAGTATGTGGCCTTTTGAGCTGTTAGATGCTGGATCAATGGCAACCACTAAGTGCTTTGGGTGGGTGGGGTACGATAAGCATTACAGCTCGGCCTATAGGAGGCTAGTGTGCACACCTGACCCTGTGGCCCCCAGAAACAGAAAGGGGGACTGCAAGCAGTGCGCTGGGGAGCCCTCCACTCAGGTTACGGTGCGGGGCCACCAGTTCCTGGTACAAAGTGGAAACACATTTCCCTGGGCCCCCACTTGCATCCCAGGAAAGAAGCCCCAGTGGCCAGCTGTTGTTTAGCAGAGGCCTCTAGGGAACGGGCATCCTGCCAGACTCATCTGGGCTTTTTCCTCAGGGCCAGCACTGCAGCCTGCTAAGGGCCTGGTCTCTCTGTCTGGTGCAATATTCTTGTCTCACAGCAGCTGCCAGCTGGCCCAACTCCGTGCCCAGCCTGCTGGGCCTAAAGGCTGCTGTGAAACCAGCAACTAGGAAAGAAAGTATTGCATCTCACTGGGGGCCCAGAAAAAAAGGAAACTAGGGACGTGGAAGGGGAGGGATTGCCTCTTGGGCTTTATCAGTGGTTTCCCCAAAGTAGTTATCTCATGTATTTACTCAGCAACTCTTTCTTTCTTTCTTTTTTGAGAGAAAAAGCACATGCGTGCACCTCCAGTGCACTGGGTGGGTTTGAGGGGCAGAGGGAGAGGGAGAGAGACTTAATTAGGCTTGGCGCCCAGCCCGGAGTCCAACACAGGGCTTGATCTCAGCACCCTGAGATCAGGACCTGAGCCAAAACCGAGAGTTGGACGTTTAACTGACTGAGCCACCCAGGGGCCGCTCATCAACTATTTGTCAGGAACTCATTATGTGCTGGGTCCTTGCCCTCACAGAACTTACAGTCTAGTGGGATAACACAGAGTGTTGATTGAATGGACAATGTCAGTACAGTCATGAGTGCCTTTGAATTTGCATAGGGAAAATTCAACTGCCACAACAGAACAATGCCTGGGCTTGAGGACCGACACAGCTTAGAGAAAGTCTCAGACAAATGCCAGTTCTCACCTGTACGGAGCTGTTGGGAGATCTGGAGGCAGCCACCAGCTGTCTCCAGTATCGTGGGAGATACAGGAAAATAAGGCTTTGGGGGTCCCAGTGGTGGGGCACAGTCAGAAGAACTCACTGATTTTCTCCCATGGTTAGAAGACAGCTCGGTCTGGTAAATTGAATATTCTGGTTAATGGCTACTATGTATATCTGATGCACAACTCACCTATTTTCATGCAGTTAAAAACCAGCAACTTGCACAGAGTACTAAAGCTTTACCTAACATACTAGATGCTTTCAGATGATTCAGAAAGAAATTGGGTGTCTCTAATGGCCTCTAGGTCATCCCTGTGCCCGTTTTTTTTTTAAAGATTTTATTTATTTATTCATGAGAGACACACAGAGAGAGGAAGAGACATAGGCAGGGAGAAGCAGGCTCCCTGTGGGGAGCCCAATGTGGGACTTGATCCCAGAACCCCAGGATCACGCCCCGAGCCAAAGGCAATTGCTCAACCACTGAGCCACTCAGCTGCCCCTTTTGACCAGTATTGATCATCAGATTGTAGAATATAGCAAAGCCAACTAATAGAAATCTGGCTGACTCAGTGTTGCCCTGACTCTATGTATGTGTGTATATATATGTGTGTGTACACACACTGCATATATTTTTTAACATAACTCTAGTTGGATTACCATCCTGTTCTTTACAAGCATTTTTTTTTAAGTCAGTCTTCTGAGTGGCTGAGTAAAGAGAGCTAGACGAGGACATCCCTTTTGGGGAAAGCTGATGAGCAATTTACAGCAGATTTGCAATCTGAGAGGCACACTGTTCCAGCCATCAGCCGAGCGCACCTGGCTCTCCTTGCATTTCTAACCTTATGTCTGGAGGAGCTCTGCACTTTTCCAGACATATTTTCTCTGCCACACAGCACTGTGCTGCAACTTGGATCTGGAAATCACAGTACCAAGTGGTGGTCTGGGCATCACCTGGCCTTGTAATCATGATGTTGGGAAATGTTCCCGCCTTTCAGGGAGAGAATCCATCCTTAGACCTCCAGCCCTTGTCTGAAAAGAGTAACCACCTGCTTAGTGGACATGCCCCTGGGAGCCACCTCTATGGCAGCTTATTGCCAAGCTGGCTGCACTGATGGTACAGCTGTCTCATAGGTGGTTAGCACCTGGTGGATGGCCTGGATCTGTGGACAGTGCCTGAGGATAGAAACCTCTTGAACTGACAGTTTGTGCTTCAGGCTTAACACTGCCCTAGAGCACTTCTTCACTAAGGTTGAGAGGGTAGTTACATATTATTCCCCAAGTTGATCCAGAGCACCCTAGGTACAGCCACTAAGGCCTAAATTGAACCTACTGGATTTAATTACTTACACTAACTCCATCTTTTTTTTTCCTAAAGATTTTATTTATTGATAAGAGACACAGAGAGGTAGAGACATAGGCAGAGGGAGAAGTAGGCTCCCTGATGGGAGACTCAATCCCAGGACCCCAGGATCACAACTGGAGCCAAAGGCAGACACTCAACCACTGAGCCACTCAGGTGCACCTGAGTCTATCTTTAAAGGGGCACCATGGTCTATGGAACACAGCAAGGGCTTAGAATCTGAAGGTAGAGAGACTTGGCTTCTATTCTAGTCATGGTTCTGCCCTATCTTAGTCATGTGATCATGAATAGACTCCATAAACTGAGTCCGGTTTCCTTATCTGTAAACTGAGGATAACAGTACCTACCTCAGGAGACATTTGACAGGATTACATACGATAAACCCCATAAAGTTCTTTCAAGTGCAGAGCACATTTTTGGCTCTTTTTCTAAAGATTGAGAGTTCACTTTCTGCCCAGTACTGTACTTTATTTTTTTAATAAACTGCTTTTTAAAAAATATTTATTTATTTATTTATTTATTTATTTTTTACAGAGAGAGAGAGAGAGAGAGAGAGAGAGCATGAGTGAGGTGAGGGTCTGAGGGAGAGAGAATCTCAAGCAGACTATGCTGAGCATGGGCCTGACACAGGACCCCAAGATCATGACCTGAGCTGAAACAAGAGTTGGACGCTTAATTGACTGAGCCATCCAGGCACTCCTTAAATAAACAGCTTTATTGAGATATAAATTCCAAGCCAGAAAATACACCCATTTAAAGTTCACAACTCAGTGTTTCTGAGTGTATATAATGTATTTACAGGGCTGTGCAATCATTGCCACAATTTAATTTTAGAAAATTTTTACCCCTCCTAAAACCAACTCTGTACCTATTAGTGCTCATTCTCTAGTTCCCCCCTAGTCACCACCGAGCACTAAACAACCACACTTTCTGGGCCTATAGCTTTGTCTATACTGGACATTGTGGATAAATGGAACTGTACACTTTACAGTCTTTTTGTGGCTTGCTTTTTTTTCATTTAGCATAGTGTTTTCCACGATGTAGCATGTATCACTACTTCATTTGTTTTCTTGGCCAAATAATATTCCATCTGGCAGACAGACTGCCTTTTTTCACCCATTCATCAGTTGATGGATAGTTGATTGTTTCTACCTTGTGTCTTTTATGAATAATAATGTTATGAACCTTTATGTACAAGTTTTTGTGGAGGCTTATGTTTTCAATTCTCTTTGGTATACAACTAGGAGTGGAACTGTTGGTCAAATGGTAACTCTGTGTTTAACTTTGAGAAACTACCAAACTGTTTCCCAAAAGGACTGCACCATTGTACATTACCACCAGCAATGTTGGAGGATTCAGTTTTACCATACCCTCACCAATACTTGTTATCATCCATCTTTTTTTTTTTAACATCCACTGTAGTGGAGGTGAAGTGGTATCTCATGGTTAGGATTTGCATCGTCATAGCTTATGGTGTTGAACATCTTTGCATATGCTTATTGGCATTTGTATATCTTCTTTCATGAACTGTCTGTTCAAATCCTTTGCCCATTTTTCAGTTGGGCTCTTTGATCATAAACATGAAAGTTTATGTTCTGGACTCTCAATTCTATTCCAGTGATCTATGTGTCTACCCTTCAGTCAATATCACACCATCTTGATTGCCATGCTTTGTATTAAGTTTTGAAATCAGGAAGTGGGGGCGCCTGGGTGGCTCAGCGGTTGAGCATCTGCCTTTGGCTGAGGCGTGATCCGGGGATCCTGGGATCGAGTCCCACATCAGGCTCCCCTCGAGGAGCCTGCTTCTCCCTCTGCCTGTGTCTTTGCCTCTCTCTGTGTCTCTCTCTCTCATGAATAACTAAAATCTTAAATTAAAAAAAAGAGAAATCAGGAAGTGTGGGTCTGCCTACTTTGTTCTTTATAAAGACGGTTTTGGTTATTCTGTGTCCTTTGTGATTCCATATGAATTTTTGAATTACCTTGTCAATTACTACAAAGTCAGTTGGGATTCTGATAGGGACTATGTTGAATCTGTAGATCAATTTGGAAAGTACTGCCATGTTAACAAGATTGGGTCTTCCAATCTATGAATATAGAATATCTTTTCATTTATTTAAATCTTCCTTAATTTCTTTCACAAATGTTTGTAGTTTCCATTGTACAAGTCTTGCACTTCTTTTGTTAAACTTATACCTAAGTATTGTATTCCTTTTGGTGCTATTGTAAATAGAATTGTTTCCTAATTTCATTAGTAGGTTGTTTGTTGCTACCGTATAACAATACAATTAATTTTTGTATTGTCCTTTGCCATGCAACCTTGCTAAGCTTATTAGCTCTAATAATGCATTAGTGGATTCCTTGGGATTTTTTCTATACAAGATCATGTCATCTGCATGCAGAGAACCTTTCCAATCTGGATACTTTATATCTAATTTTATTGTCTAATCGTCCTGGCTACGCCTTCTAGTACAGTGTTGAGTAGAAGTGTTAAAACAGTTTTCAGTATTTTACCAGGTCTTTTTATCAGGTCTGTTTACTGTGGATTTTTCATAGATAATCCTTACCATGTTGAGGAAGTCCCCTTTTATTTCTAGCCTTTTGAATTTTATTATTAAAGGGTGGTGGCTCGGGGCCCCTTGGTGGCTCAGTGGTTGAGCATCTGCCTTTGGCTTAGGTTGTGTTCCTGGAGTCCTGCATTGGGCTCCCTGCAGGAAGCCTGTTTCTCCCTCTGCCTATGTCTCTGCCTCTCTCTGTGTGTCTCTCATGAATAAATAAATAAACTTTTTAAAGAAAGAAAGGGTGGTGGCTTTTACCAAATTCTTTTCCCAAGAATTCCCAAGTCTATTGAGATGATTGTGTGGGTTTTGTCTACCATTCTCTTAACATGGTATATTACATTCATTGATTTTTGGATGTTAAACCAACCTTGCATTCCTATAATCCCATTTGGTTGTGGTGTATAATGCTTTTTATATGTTTCTGGATTCAGATTGCTAGTATTTTGTTGAACTTTGTTTCTATATAGGAAATATTGCTCTGTAGTTTTATTGTGATGTTTTGTCTGGTTTGGTACCAGGGTAGTATCAACTTTATAGAATAAGTTATGAAGTGTTCCCTTCCTCTTCTGTTTTTTGGAATAATCTGTGAAGAATTTGTATAAGTGCTTTGAGCATTTGGCAAAATTTACCAGTGAAGCCATTTGGGCCTGAGTTTTATTTTTAGTGGGAGTGGGTACTTTTAATTACTAATTCAATTTCTTTTCTTGCTATTGACCTATTCAGGTTTTTCTATCTTCTTGAGTCAGTTTAATCATGTATTTCTAGGTATTTGTCCATTTCACCAAGGTTATCTAATGTTTTCTGGTATAAGCTTCTTTTTAAAATCCCTGATAATCAAGTCCATATCTGTAGAGTCAGTAGTGATGGTCCTTCTTTCATTCCTGATTTTAGTAATTTGACTCTTCTCTTTAATTGCTTGGTCTCTACAACTAAATGTTTGTCAATTTTATTGATATTTTCAAAGAACCAACTTTTGGGGCACCTGGGTGGCTCAGGCGTTTAAGCGTCTGACTCACTTTCAGCTCAGGTTGTGATCTCAGAGTCATGAGATCAAGCCCCACATCGGGCCCCATGTGGAATCTGCTTGGAATTTTCTCTCTCTCCCTCTACCCCTCCATTCACTCACATGTGCTCCCTCTCTCTCTCAAAAAACAACAAAGAACAACTTTTATTTTCATTGATTTTCTCTAGTGTTTTTCTGTCCTCTCTATGCTTTCCTATTTCTTTTCTTCTGCTTACTTAGGGTTTAGTTTACTCTTCTTTTTCAAGTCTCTTAAGGTGGAAGGTTACATTATTGATGTGAAATCTCTTTTTAATGTGTGTTTATAGCTATAAATTTATCCCTAAACACTAATATAGCTAGATCCCACAAGTTTAGGTATGTTGTATCTTCATTTTCATTCATCTCAAAGTATTTTCCAATTTCCCTTGTGATTTTTTCCTTGACCCATTGGTTATTTAGGTACATTTTACTTAATTTCCACATACTTGTGAGTTTCCCAAATTTCTTTGTTACTGATTTCTAATTACATTGTGCTCAAACACACATATATTTTGTATGATTTCATTTCTTTTAAATTTGTTGAGGCTCATTTTATGACCTATATATGGTCTATCTTGGAGAACGTTCCAGGTACCCTTGAGAAGAATGTATATTCTGCTGTTGGTAGGTGGCATGTTCTATAGATTTTTGTGACGTCTACTTAGTTTATAGCTGTTCAGGCCCTTTATCTCCTTGTTGATCTTCTGTATAGTTGCTCTATCCTTTGTTGAAAGTGGGGTAGTGAAGTGTCCAATTACTGCCGTTGAATTGTGTGGGTTTCTCCTTTCAGTTCGGTCAGTTGTTGCTTCATGTATTTTGGGGTTGTGTTGTGAAGTGCCAGCACCATCCTTTTGTAATGGTTGGAAGGTCTACTGAAAAGCAACACTGACACATTGACCCTGTCAAACTGGAAATCAGAAGGCATTTTGAAGGTTTGTTCTCTGGTACCTTGACCACCACGAGGAACGATAGAGCAATGGTTTAAAACATGGGCTTTGTAGTCCCTCAGACCTGGGCTCAAATACAGGCTGCCATTTATGACTCGTGACCTTGGATAAGTCACATAACCAAACAGGTTGGTTTCTTCCTCTGCAAAGTGGGGATCGTGACAGCACCTACCTCCTTGGCTTGTTGTGAAGATTAAATGGGGTGGTGTGTGATGACCTCAGCCTAAGTTAGTGCCTGCTTGCCCTCTGTCGCTCTGTCTGCTGGTAGCAAAATGAACTGGCCTTGTCTGAGTATATTCTCCCAGATGACATGGGGAAGGGCCCCCGAAACAGTCTACGCGAGAGAAGCCATGTAGAGAGAAAGCATTTCATTTGTGATGGATAATTCTCAGATGCACACACCTACCATCATTAAAAGCTATTGACAAAAACATTCTACCCCAATTTCTACTGGAGCAGGCAGGCTGGCCCTGCACGGATACAGAGAAGTAGTGAGATCTGAGGACTCGGAAGAATGCTTCCCATGCCATATCCTCCTCCCACATCCACACATCCCAGCGAATTTCCCATAGACTTTGCACATTCAGAGGCCCACAATACTATAAGTAGAGCTTTATTCTTTTAGGGTCCTTCCATGACAGTCCTCTCTGAAATGCAAATTTTCAGGTACTGTATGTGGTCCATTCTGCATTTTCCCACCAAGGCACTAAGTTACTGGCCAGATTTATTGCCTTCTGCCAGAAGAGGTCGAACCTAACACAAGAGTAACAGAGCCCTGGGGGATGAAAAGGCTCTGAGACGTGGGGACGGGCAGGGACAATCTGAAGGGGGATTTCAGACTTTAAAAAGTGAAAGTGTGTTAACAGCTGACTTAAAGAGCAGATATACCCACGTAAGAGACCCATTGGACCCAGATACCAAGCTGCTCAGCCCCTCCCCCGTCACCCCATGCTGGTTTCCATTTCAGACACCATGGGGCTGTTGTTGTGCTACTCTCAGGGTCTCTCGCAGCCAGGTAATAATGCTCTGTCGGTACCTGACATCCAGCTGTGTACCAGAAACACCAAGGGAGCTGCAGCCATGGTCCTGAGCACCAGGGCTCATCTGTTGATTCTCTTTCTGGGTTTAGATTACATGCACAGCGCCCACCGCCCTGTCACTGGGGGCCACCTGGGGAAAAAGGAGAGTAGTTATGTGGGCAGCGTGGGCGCCAGCCCCCGGAAGTCGAACCACTGCACACCCCCACCTGCCGACTCTGAGCTTGTCAGCTTTTGCTACCTCCACATGCGGGAACAAAGGAAGGAGCAGGAAAGCCGGATGGATGTCAATGAGAACTTAATCTTCTTTGAGGAGACCAGGCCCCGGACCAAGTCCGATCCCACTTCCAAAAGTTCCGGCCAAGGCTATGAGGCGATCCCCGATGACTTTGATGCAGCCAGCCTCAACCATGAGCCTTGCGCCAGCAGGGCCCGCTCCTACACCTTAGACAATTCCCTTGGGGCCGAAGCCCTGAATTTCTACTGTGACTCTTGCAAAGCCAAACTCCAGGAGCAGCTGGGCCCTCGCAAAGGTGGAAAGCCCAGCTCTTCTCGTGACAATATGGTAGACTTGATGTCCCTCCCACCCCCTGGGAGCGAGGAGGAGGAGGAGGAGGAAGATGAGAGCACTTCGCTGTTGCCTGCCATTGCCGCCCCACCTCCTGGTTTCCGAGACAATAGTTCTGATGAGGAGGACCCCAAGCGCCGGGCAGTCCAGAGCCAGGAGCAAGGACGCCACCTGTGTGGGCTCTTGTATGATGAGATTCCAGTGACACTCATTGACAGTGTGCAGACCCGGACAGTACGAGATCATGCCCAGGAGCTAGATGATGCCCTGGTGTCCACTCTGCAGGCTCTGGAAGCCCTGGCAGCCTCAGAGGATGGACCACACCCCCCACCCCCACAGACTGCAGGTAAAAGCCTATTGTTCCTCCTCCCTCTTGCCTCCCCTCCCTTCTGCCGGCCAGGTAGGGCCAGCAGGTGATATTGCTTATTTCTGAGCTGAGGTCAAAGTAACCGTGGTGTGCCAGGGCAGTGGATGGCCACAGGTAGCTCAGATAGGATCAGGAAATCAACAATGCTGTGTCAGGGGCCGGCTGCTCATCTCCAGCTAGAACTCTGGCTCTCACCATTCCATCTCTGGAAATGTCTTGCAGATGGACCCCAGGGATTGGGGCTGTGACAGCCCCGGAGCCAGGCCAGGATGAAGAATCAGAGCAAAATTGTGAGAGATCTAGAAGACAGGCAAAGAATATCCAGCATGCACATGGCTGGAAGAAAAAAAATGACCAGCTAACCACCTAGTAACCCAGGATCAGGGGAGCCAGGAGCCAACCCTGCTCAGGGCAGAGTTCTTTTCTTTATCTTGCCTAAGAACATAGGCTCCCAGTCAGATCCGCCCAAGTCCTGGCTTCTTGGCTCACTTTCGGTATAACCTTTGGCAAGACACCTACCCTCTCTGAACCTCATTTTTGTCACTTTAAGTGGGTCTGTTAATGACAGTCATATCATGTAGGCTTGCTGTGAGCACAAAAGGAGATCATTCAAGCAAAGCACTGCCCAGAACGTAAAAAGAAGTAAAGCCATTAGTATTACTCGTAAGTAGTAGCCATTACTAGTATTGATTGTTTTGTGGGAGAGCCAGCCGACATGCCTGCTATTCCCCATTTTGGACACACATACATCCATCTTGTAGACAAGCTCATGTGTCAGACATGCACCCACATTCACAACACATACCTACACACACACACACATACACACACACGCGCGCGCACACACACGCGTGCGCACAGAGAGAGACCTAAAAAAGAACAGGTGAACACTACAGCAACAGAATAGGAATAAAGAGGAATAGGGCGGATGAGAAAGTATGTGAGGCAGGAGGAAGTGTGGACAGAGAAGACGAAGAGAGTGGGTGAGGAGGCAGCCCAGCTGAGACCTGGGAGAGTACCAGCCCCTACCTTTCCTGTGTGCACGAGGGCATCCTTGGTGGTAGGGCACCCCCCCCTGCTGTGTTTAGCCCTTGGGGCCACCGTTCCTTTTTGCTCAGAGTCTGGAGCTTAGAAACAAGCTACTCCCAGGCTAGCTGGAGGCCCCTGTGGTCACTGGGGAGAGGACAGACGCAGGTGAAAGGGCCTCGCTGTAGGCAGGCCTGACCAGCTGAGGAGGGCTAGATAGAGAGGGGCGTCTCTTTGGCAGCCCTCTTCAAGACAATTGACAAACATTTCCTAACTATTGAATCTAAAAATAGTGATGATTAGCATGCTGCTCTGCATGTACCATGCATGTTAATTTGCCATCAAACTGCCCAGAAGACATCCTCTCTGCCTCTTTTGTTTCTTTTTCGGATTCCCCACCCTTTGGGAGCCCTCTTCCAGCTTGCCTCCTTCTGCCCCTCCCCCACCTCTCCCCTCCTCTCCCCCTGCCCCCCCCTGCCTGAACTGACAGGCTTCCCCACCCCCACCCCAGCTTCAATCCTGCTGGCTGCCCTTGGCCCCCACCCCCCTAAACTTTCTCCATATGGCTGGCAAAAGGACTTGATTGGAGTAAGTGCAGCAAGCCCTCTCCCTGTCCCTCCAGGTCTGATTGTGCTGGCTACAATCACCCCTGAATCATCGCTGGACTCAGGCCATGAAACCAACTCCTCAGAGCTCACAGACATGTCAGAGATGATGTCTGCCATGAAGCAGCACCAGAACACCACCTATTTTCTGGCCCAGCACCTCAACAAGGAGAGCCTCCTGGCTCGCAAGGATTTGCCCTTCCGGATCCAGAGCTGCGCAGCCCAGGCTGTCCTCACGGCCCCTTATGCTCTTGGGCGCCCAGATCCCAACCCAGCACTGCAGCCAACTGTCACAGGCCAGAGTCCTGGCCCCCCTGGCGCTCGGAGGAAGCTGCCCACATCAGAATCCCAGCCACAGAGGGAGCGAACATACGCCCTGGCAGTGCACCCGGCGCTGTCCCCACAGCTCAGTGAGCAGAAGAATCTGAGCCTGCTGTCCCCAGTTCCTGAGGACAAGGGGCCTGGCCACACTCAGGCAGGCCTGGAGGTGTCACTGAGGGCAGCCACACCGTCCCTCAGTGAAGAGCAGGTCTCTGAACTAAGGGAGAACGTGCCCAAAGAAGTCAGGTTGAGTCCCAAGCTTCTCTTAGATCCGAAGGGCAGCGTGACCCCGGCTATGATCTCAGCCGCCCTCCAGCAGGTGGTTCACCCTAAGAGCCTCTCTACCCCTGGCAGGGCCATAGTGAACCCCCCCAGCAGTGGGGAGAGAAGGCTGGAGACCAGTGTGGGGAGGCCCGAGGTCAGCATGGGAAGGACGGAAGTTACCATGATGAGCGGTAGTGCCAATAAGAATCTGAAGTTCAAAATAAGCCCTGGTGCTCCAGAGACCTCTCAGAATTCCCAGCAGCAGCTGAGCCTCGAGGTCTCCTCTGGCTCCAGAGCACCTGCAGGCAGCCGGGCTGACAGCCCACATCTCTCCCCACAAGAGGACAGGCTGCCTGTTCAGAGTTTCCCTCCGAAAAGCTACCTTTCACGAGCAAGCAGAGAGTCATTGAGCAAGCAGTCTATAGGGGAGGTGGCAGGCAAGGCTGGGCCAGAGGGTGCTAAGCCCACCCTGCACAAGCAGGGCACCGTATCCAGCCAGGGGGAGAAGGGGCAGCTGGAGGGCATGGCCCAGAGCAGCAAGATCGAGGAGACCAGCGTGGTACCCCGAGCCGGCTATTCCATGGCTCTTCAGAGCCCCAGCTGCCAGCCCCATGGCCACAGCCCCAGCAGCCAGTCCCGAGGCCAGAGCCCCAGCTGCCAACCTCGGGGCCAAAGCCCCCTGAGGCCCCAGGCTGCCAGCCGGCAGGTGAGCACCATGCCCTCCCTGAAGCTGGAGACAACCCTGGATGGAGCCCACTCAGCCTCTGAAGGCCCCACAAAGCCCAAGTCCTCCCGAGGGCCCTTCCGGCTCCGCAATTTATTCTCTGCCACGTTCCCGACCCGCCAGAAAAAGGAGACTGATGAGCGGCAGGCCCAGCTGCAGAAGGTAAAGCAGTACGAGCTCGAGTTCCTTGAAGAGCTTCTGAAGCCCCCGAGCCAGGGGGAGCTGCCAGGCACTGAGTACCTGCAGCCCCCGGCACCAGGCCGCTGCAGCTGCCAGCTGCGCAGCAGCCCTGTGCAGCAGGGGCCTGGCATGTCACGGGAGCAGAGGCGCAGCTGTGATTGCAAGCGCCTCTGCCGGGGGGGCCGGCCTCAGGCCCCTCAGACGCCAGTGCCCGGCCTCCAGGGGCGGGAGAGGGACAGAGTCCCCCTGACCCAGAGGCAGCCAGAGGCCGGCCCGGGCCTGAGGAGCCTCAGCAGCCCCACCAACGTGGGGCGCATCCGCTCCACCAGCCTGGAATCCCGAGAGTGCCGATCAGACCCAGAGAGTGGCATTTCCTGCCTGACCACGTGTGCCTCAGGAGGGGAGTGTCTGGGAGCACCCAACTACCGGAAGCTGATGCGCCGCTACAGTATCAGCGAACTGGATCAGGGTGACAGGGCATCACTGACCTCGGACATCTATCCGCACCCACCCCTGGGCATGCTGCCTAGGGAGGCCAAGGAGGTAGAGGCAGGCCTCCCCCTGGGCCTGGGTCCCAAAAACAAGCCACTGGAGTCACCAACCCTGGGAGACCCCTCATATGTCCAGGTTGCCCCCGAGACCAAAGGCCCCAGACAGATGGCAGTATTCTCACTGCCGGAAGAGGTGTACCAAAAGCCCGTCGACCTGGATGAGGACAGCGAGAGCGGCAAATGCTGCTCCATCCGCTACTGCTTCTATTACCGCAAGTGCGACATGGGGGATGACGCCAGTGATGGCAAGGATGAGCTCTCCTATTCCATCCCCATGAAGATCCTGCCGGGCATGAAGTTGGAAGAGCAGGTGGTGCCCGTGATGAGCAGGACCCTGGAGGTGCTGGATGCTGCCACTTGCAGCAGCAGCAGCCCCGAAGCCTCCCGCACCCAGGAAATTGACCTGCGGGTTTCCACCTTCGAGGGGAGCCTGGCCAAGATCAGTGCCCTGCGGGCCCGCGCCTACGGCCTGCCCGACGGTTTCCTGGCCGCCAGGCTGGACACCAACGAGCTGCTGACGGTCCTGCGGCAGTGCGTGGCCAGCCCTGAGGCCCGTGCTCCAAAGCCCTATGTCTCTCAGATCTCTGAGTACAAGCTCGAGCTTTCTCTCAAGTTCAAGGAGCTCCGGGCCTCCTGCCGCCGCGTGGCCAATGTGGACAAGAGCCCAACTCACATGCTGGCAGCCATCACGGGCAGCTTCCAGGTGCTGAGCAGCCTCATCGAGACCTTTGTGCGGCTGGTATTCATCGTGCGCTCCGAGGCCCAGCGCCAAGAGCTGCTGGCCAAGGTTGAAGAGGTGGTGAGGAACTACACCTTCCTCCTGCGTGCGGCCGAGGAGTCCACCACCCGGAACCTTAATCAGCAGCAGCAGCAGCAGCAGCAGCAGCAGCAGCAACAGCAGCAGCAACAGCAGCAGCAGCAGGCAGCAGCTGTTGGGGTGGCCACAGGGCACTTCCCGGGCGCCCCAACTTCAGCGACTGTTATGAGCACATTCACCCGCTCCTTAAAAACCCTCATCAAGTAGGGCACCCACCCAGGCCTGCCCCCCCAACCACGGCCCCAGGTTCAGAGCTTTGTGGTCTTTGCATCTTGTGGTGTGTCCTGTATGCATCTGCCCAGCCCTGTCAGGGTCGGAGAGCCTTCCGTCTTCAGGGAGTGAGAACTCCCTGGGTTGAGGCTGTCCCTCCGGGCTCCGGCAGCTGCCACCCTGGGTATCTTCGCCCCTTCCCCGGCCTCTGGTTGTCACTGTGAGGGCCAAGGCCCCTCGTCACTACGCCTGCCTGCCGCAGAGCTGGATTTTATCTCTTCTTTAGGGCTGACAGGTGACATGAGGCTCACCTTCCTCTTCTGTTTTGGGGGCCAGGGGAGCTAGGGCCTGAAGTAGGCAGGCCCGCGGGCCTTGAGCTCCTCCTGGAGTCTGCTCCCCCTCCCGGGAGCAGTAACAGTAGTACCAGGGCACAGCACCCAGTGGAGGGGAGAGGGCACTCAGCTCAGCTGTGCCCACCCACCCTGGGCTCACACTCACTCACTTCTGCAGAAGCCACCCTAAAGGGCCCATGCCCTGATGGTAGGTCTGCAGAAAACAGCCACCACACAGGGCTGTCTACAGCCAGCCCAATAGGCTGTCAGCCTTGGGAGCCCTTGCCCCCAGGCACAGTAGCTCCACACCAGCCATCCCCAAAGTGCCCTGTCCCTCACTGATGGGCAGGGTGGCTCAGTCCACTAGGGAGCAAGCATCTGGGATCACCCCACTCATTCTGGGTAAGGTACCTGGTGAAAACGTCTGCCCTGGGGAGACCCATGGCAGGCCTTGGAGCCCGCCCGGCCCAGCCCAGCCTGGCCCAGCCCGGCCCAGCTGAGTACAGGGGCTATTGCTTCAGGGGTGGGGTTCCTCTCTCAACATCTACCAGACAGACTGTCCTTAGGAGTTTGACTTAGCTATGGATTGGGGATGGGGGGTGGGGGGAGGGGGGATAGGGGTAGGGGTGGGGGGTGTCGATGACTATATCTTAAACTTCTGGAAGCTAGCGTGATATGTTAATCCTGAGTATATGCTTTTGGCTATGTATTGAACCTGTGGATTTGTCTCTCTAAGAAAAGAAGCTGAGCGCCTTACCTGGTGCAGTCCTGCACCGCTCTCTCTGTCTCTCTCTCTCTCCACCACCCAGAGTCTGGAAGGGAATTCACACTGTTTAGCATCCTCCCTGACACACAACTACTGCTGCTGCCACAATGCCCCCCTACACCCCACCCCCGTCCCCCATAACCTTCATGGGAGTGAAGACACGGAGTCCCTACCAGCTGTCCCACTGTTAGGGAACATAGAAAGCCAATGTTTCTTCTGTATAGATTGCTTCTTGTCCACCTCTCCATACCTCCCCTGTTTGCCACACGCTCATGCCTGCCCTGTGTCTGCCTCCCTTTCACCACCATGTGTAATCTCTCATTCTTATGTGAGTTTTATAACGATGTACACTGTGCTTAACCCCCCACCCATCCTTGGAACCCCCACCCTAGCGCAATAAAGCCCCCTCCCCTCCCTTCCCTGAGTGGCAATTTCTCCCAGCAAGGATCAGGGGAGCCCTTCCCCAGAAACTGGTCCCCCCCGCCCCCTTCCTTGATTCTCCTCCCCCAGGACCAAATTGTTTAATGGGCCAGAGATGCAGCCATTGGGGAACCCTTCCCCCCACTCCCTACCCCCCACCCCGTGACCACTGCAAGCCCTAGCACTGTGGTGGTCTTCCTCTTCCTCTTCTACCAACTCCTTGATCCTGCACCTTCACCACTCAGCCTCCTCCGCCCCCCACCCCCAAGTCATTCCACCACTGTCCTTCACCTCTCCCTCAGCCTCATGGAGAGGACACATTTTCTAATGTCTGTATATAGTATATATACTACATAAAATATATAAATTATATATATATATACTAATTTATGTCTTGTTTTTCAAACAAGAATGATTAAATCTATTCATCTTACTATCCCAATAAGTCTTTGCAGTGTCTCTTTGTGGGTGTCCTTATGTCCTTTAATTGCTGGTTGTTGGTGCCCCCCCCAACCCCCCAGTGCTCTCCCAAGTTCCTGCTCCCACCTACCCAGGTCCCAGTGAGTGATGAGAGCTTAGGGCCCTGCTCGTGCTCCTCCCCTTTCTTTGCTCCTCTTAGAAGCTCCCTATGGGTCACAGTCACGGTCACAGGAATTGAATGTGACCTCCTTTTCTCTTAAGCCGGGCTGTGACAGGCTGAAGGGAGCAGGCAGTGGGGGTGGGAGTGGGGTGGGGTGCACAGAAACACAATGGGCTCTGTGCATAGTAAACCCGATGGCCTGGGAGGTACGGGACAGACACGAGGTAGGGGGACAGCTCTCTGGGTAGAACTGGGAAATAGGGCCCCCTCCCTCTGAAACGTGCCCAGTTGCTTCAGAGTAGAGCTCGGTTGCCTTCTTATTGGGAATCTCCTGCCATGCCCTCTGGTGATTTCTTGAGAGGTGGGGAATGTTTCTAAAGGATAGGAGCCCCAGGACCCTAAGCTGGGCTCACCTCTCTGGCTTTTCGGAAAGCTATCTAACGGAGGGAAATGATTTTGCTTCTTCTGTTCTCTCATTTTGTTCTGGTAGTCACAGGTCCCCACTAACATATGAGGCACCCTCATGCCAACTAGATAAATGTTCTTCCTGCCACACACACCCCCGTGATGAATTAGAAAGGACATCACTCTCTGGGTGATGATAGCCCTGTGGACACTCAGGCTTGATGGTTTCAACTCCATCCATCCCTACTGGCCTTGTTGGCCAGGCACACAAACGATACAGCCATGTACTGGATCCCTGATTAATTACTTCCTCTCAAACCCTGGACATGGACTCTCTCCTCAGGTCTGCGGAGGTCCTAGCTAAAGTGGTTTGGGAAGGGATACCTCGGTGGCTCAGTGGTTGAGCATTTGCCTTTGGCTCAGGTCGTGATCCCAGGGTCCTGGGATCGAGTCCCACATCAGGCTCCCCACAGGGAGCCTGCTTCTCCCTCTGCCTGTGTCTCTGTCCCTCTCTCTGTCACTCATGAATAAATAAATAAAAATTTAAAAATAATAATAAAGTGGTTTGGGAGCAGAGCACAGAGGAGCCAGAAACAGTGCAGTCAGAGCTCCCCTCTGCATGGGGGAGGCCATAGGGTTGACAGCCCCTGTAGCAGAGTTCTTCTGGGGGCCGCCCGCTGGAGCTACTGCCCACAGTCCCAAGGTTGGGACTCAGCGGAAGGCAGTCCCACTGTAACATGAGACCTGTTACCACTTAAAATGACCTAACTGGACAGTCCAGAAATTTGGGGTGCCTCTCGTCCTCTACTACATTAGTAGCTCCCTCTGGTCAGAAAGCATTCTTACTCGGTTCTATGCCCTGGGTACCCATCTGCACAGGACCCTGCGTGTTGTGGGCCTTCAATAAATACTTGTGGAATGAATGACTGTTGGATGAGATGAGTGTCATGAGAGAGCCCTCCCAGAACTCTGTACCTCATGAAAAGTCTAACCCAGGGCAGTGCGGTTGGACAAGGCCAGGCAGCCTGGCCTCCTCCTATCAAAGAATGTGAAGTCAGGTCCATTGTCCAGAGTCCCATTAACTCAGTGCTCTTCCCCTAACTACTTTCCAGAAGCTTTGGACGCTCTCCTGAGGTGGCCACTGGTCTTTTCTGTGGCCCCGGGACCACTGTGTGGTACCCAGAAGCACTGGGGAAGGCCATCTTCCTACCAGTATCAACCTCACTGGTCAGCCTGAGCCAGAGCCTGAAGACGATGCTCTTCAGCCACCCACTACCAGGCCTGAGTTCTCAAAGCCTGACTCCTGCTTTCTGACTTCAGCCAATTAAAGGGTTCATGCTGTTGGCATGGGCCCAGGATGCCCATGGTGCTGGCAGAGCCACATTTTTTGCAAGCTCTTGTCAAGGCACTGTGGGTAATACACAATTTCATCAGAAATGAATTGAAAGGACCTGCCTCAGCCGAAACTCTTCCTGCCAAAGGGGCAAGGGAGGATCAGCTGCCAGCACTAGGAAGGGGCATCAGTGTATATCTTAGGATTGAATTCCTCCAAACAGCTGCTAGGATGCAAGTGAGAACCACATCCCATTCCCCATCCTGTAGGCTGGAAGTCAGGCTGTGGGTGTGCATCTGGAGCAAGGAGGAGGTAGGAGGACATAACCTCTGAGGGTTCAGTCCTGGGCTCTGGAAAAATGGCCTGAATTCCAGGAGGGTCTCTTAGTCCCAGTGACCTGACTTTCTGGAAGCCACTGGTAGGAAAATTACGGAGGCCTGCCTTCTCACAGAGACGCAAGTTCTTGTTCATTTCAGTGCTTATAGCAACTTCTCGCCCATGCCACCAAGCCCTGGGGTGCTTCCCACACTCCCAGTATTACAGGGACATGCTCTGGTGCCCTTGCTGACATTTCCAGCTGTAGATTCTGGACCCATTCAGGAATGAGCTTGCTTTGAGCTACCCAGTCCTCCTGTTGGTGGTGTCCATCTTCCCCTCTGAGTGTGGACTCCTCATTCTTACTTTCACAGCTTCAGCTAAAAGGAGTAGGAGTCTGTCCTGTGCTGAGAACCCTCCACAACACAGAAAAGTTGACCCCCTCCCTCAAATATGCGAAAACAACTGTGTGATCACTTGCCATATGCCAGGCACTGTGCTAAGTACTTGACATGCGTGATATCATTTATTGTTCCTAGCAACCCTTTGAGAGAGAGACAATGGGGCGGCTGGCTGGCTCAATCAGTGGAGCATGTGACTCTGATCTCAGGGTCTTGAGTTCAAGCCCCACAGTTGGCAAAGAGCTTACTTAAATATACATATTTATTCAAATATATGTTTATTAATATTTAGATATGTTTTAGATATGTTTATATATTTAAATTATTTATTTATATTTATATATATTTTAAAAAGCTTACAAGAGACTATGATTGTATTCATTTCTCAGAGGAGAACACGGAGAGGTTCAATCACTAGCCCAAGGTCACACAGCTGGTAAGTGAT